GCGTACTGCAGTGGCCCCTTGATCGCAGATCACAGGAAACAGCAGGTGTTAAGAGAGGGAGAGAGAAAGGGGGAACGAGGCCGTGGATTCGGAAACCATCCTGCTTGTCTACACCCGGGCCTCTGGCACAAACAGGAAGTGGGGTTAGAAGCACAGCGGGTTCGGGTCGGGATGTCACACCAGGGTCGGCAATTCCGGTCAGAACTAAGAGATTTGGGGGAAGCACCGCACGGTAGGCTCAGAAGCTGGAAAACGAAAGATCAGAGCCTTCACACCTGCCATGTCTGATGTCATTCTTCAGGTGGCTTGACTGTCACTTACTAAATGACTCATGTTCAGATGACTGCACACCTGAAGGCATTAACAAATTGGCTTAAATCATCGATCTATTTTATTTAACCTTAGCTCTTAAAGCCAGAAAATTATCATTGTGATTTTTAAAAATATCCTAGAAAAGCTTTGAAAGTTAATTCAATTCGTTGGCCTATACCCAGGAACAAATTTGGGGACTTCAGATAAGTTAGACTTTTCCAGTTCCACTGTTTTCAAGGAGATAAATAATTTTTTAAAAATGTTGGAGATGTGGGAATGCAAGATGTAAAATATGTAGCGTGAAATATCGTCTCTAAAAGTTCAAATACGCGATAATAATTTTTCCAATTGTTTTTACATTGATTATCTCAGCTTATCTTTCGGATGACCTTACAAGCTGGCAAATGCCAGCATCCCCCTGTTTCTCGTAAGGAAATAGAGGCCTGGACTGTGTGAGTCACTTTGCCGAAGCTCCTAATGACATCAGAGCTAGAACGTGACCTAACCCTTGGCTCTGTTCCATAAACCACATTGCTGCAAGGTCTCACCCCTTCGTAGGGGACCCAGGCCTCTTTCTGTGTGACGGTCTCCTAAGGTGTCCCTGTCATTGTAAGTGGTAGGAAGAGAGAGAGAGACAGAGAGAGAGAGCTGACTATGTGGCAGGCCTGTTCAGAGCACCTGAGTGTACGATAATCTATTTAATCATCACAGCTCATAATGTACGTCCATCGTTTGGGGGCATTTTGCAGATGAGACAATGATGCTCAGAGAGGATATGGAACTGGCCAAGTCCATGCGACTCGTAAGCGTCAGGGCTGGGGTCTGAACCCAGGGACTTTCGTACCCAAGTCAGCGCGCTTACTCACCATGCTTTATTCCCTCTCTAAACTTAATAAAATTCCTTTTTATCCCCCTTGCTGTGGAGCACAATCGTCACCACATAAAAAGCACTTGATTAGTGACTTCTGGCTTGGGAAAGTAGTTGATACCTGCCATTTTGTGTACTTGCCTCTGAGCCTTGGCTGGGTGTTCCAGCCTCTGCACTATTGATCTGGGGACCAGGTGAGTCTACGTTGTGGGGACTGTCCTGTGCACTGGAGGATGTGTTAGAAGCATTGCTGGCCTCTACCCACTGAAGGCCAGTAGTACCCCTTCAGTTGCAAGCATCAAAAGTGTCTCCAGACGTGGCCAAATATCCACCGAGGTGGTGGGGGGCGGTCCTGACCTAGGACGTGCACAGGAGGTTTGGTCTTGAAGGGGGTCTGGCTGGCAGCACCTTCCCAGGAATCCCGTGTCGAGAATGCTCTCAAGTGACCGCCTTTTCTCAGTACAGCCTGGGAAAGGAACGAAGGAGGGGACTGTGCATCTTTGCCTCTGCTCCTGGCAGCTGGGAGATGGTGCTCGTTGGAACGACGTCTTCGAATCTGGGCAGTATTCTAGCCGTGGCAGAGAGAGGATGGTAGCCAGGTAGCTGAGTAGCTGGGTGGCTGGGGGATTCCTGGCAGAGAGAGGGTTGCGTAGTAGTACCGATGCTCCCGTACTACTGGCTCTCTGCTGGTGTATTTTGCATATTCTCAAAAAAAGAAAAGAAAGAAATGTGAAGTAAGGGATCCGAGACGCAGATGAACTGACAGGTAGACAGTTTCTCCCAGGCAGGAGCCAACTTCCTGGTGATGTGGCTTTGACATATAGCCGTAAGGGATGCTGGATGGAGAAAGTCCAGACTTTCTTATCTTTCAGCATGGACGACATTTTCTGAGTCATCTGCCACAGGCAGTGTAGGACTTTCCTGATGGATAAGGAAACCCAATGTACTCATTTATTATAACAATGAGGTCATCGGAAGACCCATAAAACTGGAGTTTGCTATCCAAGTTCAAATCTAGTTTGTTATTCAGATAATGGTTCCAAACTTATTTAACAAGCCATTTTTAACAAGTTGAACTTCTTTATAGGATGTTTGTTTAATTGTAGCATAGCCACCCTACCATAAACAGCGTTCTCAACTGAGTAGAGAAAACCAAAGTCAAGAGGCTTATTCAGAGGGAGATTTATACTTTTTTCAACTGAAGAGTTTCTAAGTCAGATTTTTCATCAGAGATGTAAAAAATGATTACAAAGTCTCTTTACAGATTTCTTAAGACCATATCAGAAGGAGAGAGAGACAGACAGACAGACAGAGAGAGAAATTGGAAATTACAGATAGGCTTGCATCTTTAAGAGAGCTCAAAGTATTTAAAAATCTCATTATAAATATACCAAACATCTTAATTTCTTTCCCTGAGGTGAGGTGGCAGAATAGAATGAACCCTATAGAGACAGATTATTTCCGAGGGAAGTCACCAACGGTGTTTAAAATTTGGTAAACGAATGTCACTTTTATCCCTGCCTGCAACATGGAGTACATGGGCTTTAGGGAGCTTCAGACTGTTGTCCAAATCCTTCTGGACCTTCCCCAAGCCTCTTCACGTCCCCAAGCCTCGTTTCCACGTGTAAACATGTAGATAACACCTGTTACATAATGCTTTTGGTGCTTAAAAAGGATATTTTTAAAACTGATTAAATACTTGAACTGGTCACTCAATAAATAGAAGCTATTTATCGTCATATTATCATCTCTGATATCTTTATGACAGTTCGTTAGTTCATTTAGACAAGTGGATATCTGCTTTTCTAAGATTTGAAGCAGCATTTTATTTTTCCTGTCAAACTACAACTTTCCCTATTTTCCTGAGATGTATACAGATGGAGGAGGGAGGATGAAGGGAAGATGACTAAATTTCCATGTAGTATTGGAACCATGTTAAGAAAGTTGCTTATTACTATCACATTCAAAAAAAAAAAAAAAAGCCTATGTTTAAATCTAGGAAAAGCACACCAACCGATTTCCATAGTATCAAACCACAAATAATTACTGAACACGATCCACTCCGTATCCACTAATTTTTTGTCACGTTGACAAAACATCAGTCTACCATTCTGAGAATGCTTTGCAAAGAGAGTCCAAAAAGTCAAATAATGAAGAACTGAATGAGACTTTAATAATTAATTTCGTAGGCCCTGCCCATGGTGGCCGAGATGCTGTGCCATGGTATCTTCTGATGAGGACCTGCCTGGACTTTGGACTCACAGGACATTATGCAAAAGCACGTCTAGCATCTTGTCTTTGTCTGGCGGCCAGATAAAGCAGCACATAGACCATGCACTTAACACTGTCCCCCGTCTCTCCACCTTGACCTCTGGCATCAGTTGAAAAAAAAAAAGTAATTTTTAGCCCATAAAGATAAAGAGAACCAGAATAAAAGACAACGGTGGATAAAAGTTTCCGATGCATTTTTGAAAACTGGCGAAAGAACTTGGAAGATCTAGGCTCAGCAGAAGTTGAGGTTCAGGGGAAGGTTTGAGGCTACGTGTTTTCCCGCACTCCATACAGCCAGGCACCCACCATAAAATCACCCTCCCGTCAACACGCACACGCACAGAGGGACAGACAGGACCAAAGGATTATACTCCGAGGAAGCTAAGCAGGAGAGACTCTTGCCGAGAGACACCAGAATCAAGGGCCAGCGAGTCCTCCCTCTGCTCCCCGGTCTCTGCCCGATTCTGGGGCGCCAGCCAGCAAACCTGTGCTGCTCCCTCTACACCCCCTTTCCTGCTCCATCCCTGGCAGAAATTAGATTTTTTTTTTTAAGCAATCACAAGAAAAAAATCTCTAAGTCAACATTTAGGGCTCTTCTGTGGAAAGGGGAGGTCGCCCTTCAGTGGCCCCTGCCAGTCGCCCCTCTGCTCACGTGCACAGCGGTCCCGAAAGTGTTTTAGCCACTCGCCCTTAGCCATAAATAAGTAGATAGAATCAGAGACGCCTGAGGACGATGTGCAATGTGGACACAGAGACCAAAATAAAGAGTTAAAACCCAAATAGACAAAGGTTCTGGGCAGATCAGAGTCCATGCAGAAATCAGAAGTAAACTTCTTAAAAAGTTATAATATGTCCTCAAAGATATGCAAAGAAAGTGAGTCCATTATCTGGATACAGGCCGCAATGAAGAAGGATCAGAGACGAGACAGAGTTCTTTTTCTTAAAAAAATAGAAAAATCGAAATTAAAAAAAAATAAATAGAAGGTTATAAGGTAGAGTCAAGGAACTCTCAAGAGTAGAACAAAAAATAAAGACAAAAGGGAAACGAGAGGGAAACGATAAGAAAAATTAAAGAATCGATTTTCAGAGTTTAGCAGCTAACGAGAGTTCCGGAAAAAGAAGAGAGAAAATGAAGGGGAGATCTTCCTGAAGAAGCGATTTTCAGCCTCCACAATTGAAACGCGCGTGTGTGTCTCCATCATGAAGGAGCACATGGAGAACCTGTCCCATGAGTGAAAAAAAGACAAAACCCCAGGTAGGTCATGGTCAAAGTGAGAACACTCGAGCTCTAGAATAGATTCTAGAAGATTCCAAAGTGGAAGAGAAAACAGTCAAATACAGAAGAACGGCCTTGAGTTTCATAACAGCAACTGAATCTTAAAGACAGCAGAACAAAGCCTGAGAATTCCGAGTGACGGTGCTGTTCAACTTAGACTTCTATTTTCTTCCAAACTGTCCATTATATGGATTAAAATATTTACCACTTGAAATAATTTTGTCATGCAGGAATTTTTTTTTTTTTGAATTTCCCTTTTGTATTCTTTCTTAGGCAGCTACTAGTTGCTGGAGCAAAACAACAGAGCAAACCAAGACAGATGGAGAGAGATGGAGGGGACACCCATGACGACTGCGGCGCGGGTTTAGAAAACGACTCACCTGGAGAGCGACGGGAGGAAGCGGGGCTCCGAAGAAGAGGTGAGTGGCGGGGAGATGGAACTGATCTGTTGAGCGAATAGCTGGTCGATAGACCGATGGCGGAGATGTGTTTGGAAAATAATTAACCCTGGATAACGCAGAGTGAGCAGTTTGTCCAGTGTTACTGTCTGGTAAATGACGGAGCTGAGATTCTGACCCAGGCCGTCTGGTTTCAGCGTGGGCGCCCTTACCCAGGACCCACTATGACCTCACGAGGAAGTGACAACGGTGCATCTTTTTGCCACATCGTTTGGGATGAAACTCTGACTGTCGATATGGTACAAATCTTGACATCACTTGGTTGAGATATAATGTTGAGGAGAATTACGAGCATGTTCTCTGACTGCACCCCAAAGGTCCGGTCGTTAATGTCTTGTTAATATCCCAGGGTGCCCACTGCACGGGGGCCTCTCGAGAGCTCTGCCACCCTGAGGCTCTGGCTCCCTGTGGTAGATTCTGTGGTGAGGGGACCTAGGCCCATTGCCTCTGACCATCTCTGTCTCGGAACATAAAGTTTCAGTCTCCTAGTTTACATCTGGGGTGACACAGCTCACAGGCTGGAGCAGATCCCCAGCACTTCCTAGCAGAGGAGCCAGGAGTGAGAACAGTCTTTCTCCACAGAGTCAAAGCCAACTCCACAGAAGCCAAAAATAAAGGAATCGGGAGAGACTGTGAAACTAGGAAGGTACAGAGCATTTCCGCCAAAGGATGAGTGACTATGATATTATAGAAAAGAGATTCCAGCAAAACAGTCCCGTCATCCAGACATTTTCATTAGTACACCTCCAGTTCACAGCTAAAACTAGTCTCTCTCCCCACACCTCTCTCCCCTCCCCAACTCTGCAATTTAGGGCAATCATATCATTGGAGTCAGTGTTTTCCTCGTCTGCCACATTTTTTGTTGTTTCATTTAAATATGGAATCAAGGAATTCGCATTGAAATAGAACGTCCTATTTCTTACGGCCGAGAGCCGGAAAGAACTTATCTTTGTAAGGCCGATTACAAAACACGATGTTTTTGTAATATTAATGTTTTTGTATAATGTCTTTCCTACTTGATTTCACCCAGTGACTAGTGACTGGTTATGATGGAGCCACTGGACGTGGGCACAAATAGAAACTAATGGTTTGGGTATCTTAATGCACAATATATCCGGAATAAAATTTAGGATCTATCGAAGCAGCTTGCATTTAAATGTGGCACCTGACGCTAATATGAACGTAAGGTTCACAGTAGAGAAAAATTGCCCTTGAATAGGTGGATGCACACTTGCCTTGCGTTCCAGGAGGCACGACTTCTCTGTCCTGTCCTCTGTGTTCGCTCGGTCCCCGTGTGTCACACGCCTAGCACAGAGCAGCGTGTTCAGTGACACTGATTCTTGGAAAAACACCCAAACTGCAGATCGTCCCTAGAGCAGCTAAACTGTGTCCTCCCCGTCTTCTTCCTGAGGCCACCAGTGAAATGCAGCATTTGCTGGAGAAAGTTTATCGAGTAACACTTCGTAAAAGGGGAGAATTCAGATAAGCTATTTGTCAGGAGGGAGATGTCCTCAAACTCAGCCATTTATGTCGCTTTTAACTCAGCTATGAAGATGTCGCAGGGAGGGCAAACCCGTCACAGCCCTCTGGAGGACACCTGCTTTTCTCTCAGTCACGTGACCTCAACACTTTCTAGTCCCCGTGACCCCTTCCTTTCCCCAGCTCCCCTCATTCCATGAGCCAGCAACGCTCTGGGTTTTAACACAAAATGCCACTCCAGTCCATCCTGTCCACAGCCGCGTGACCTAATTTCTCAGAGTGCTGTTTACATCGCGTCGATCTTCTGCTCTTCTCAAGAAGAAGGCAAGATCGAGTCTCCTGACTCTGGCAGTTGGGAAGCAGTGTGGGTGCTCTTCCCCAGGACCCACTATGACCTCTTAAGGAAGTGACGACCCTCCATTACTGAACCCCCAGCTCTTGTCAGAGGCCTCTAGTCGTCGGTCCCCAAGGATCGTTTCTTTCCTTCCCATGACTCCTGTGCCTGAAGCATCTGATCCTAATCTTCACATTCAGTTCCAATTCTTCACGAATGACCTTTCTATTATACGACTCGGTAGCTAAGCACTCAGGCCTTGGAGCCAAGCCTTGTCCCGGCTCAGGTTCCCCGAGCACAGGTAGATTTATTGAAGACCACTCATGGGGGCAGCATTGCGGGAGGGGGCAGAAGTGCCATCGTGCGGAGAGAGCAGTCGAATTCCAGTTGCACTTGTCCCAGATGCTTCGGCCAACCCTGGCAGCTCTGGAGCTGAGGTGATTCTTTCAGAGTTTTCCAGTCGAGACAGTTGTACCCCACCCACTGCACCAGGCCGAACCATGGGTGAGGCAGCTGCTTTCAGCCAAGGACAGTTCCTGGAGAGACCTGGAATCGTGAGCAGTCAGCCCTTTCTTCCTGCTCTCGGGGACCGAGGGCTTTCCACGGTCCTAAGAGAAAGCTCTGGGCAGGACACCGCAGCGTCCGCCACAGGCCGCGAGTTCACACTGGTTCTCCCCACGCGCAGCCGTGTGGCTGCAGATAGGTTTCTTCACTTGCCTATGTCTCGGTAGCTTATTTCACAGGAGTCAAGAAAATAACACCCTTTTTCCCTAAGGATTACGAGACATAATCCATGCGGCACATGCCTCAAAGAAAGCGCTCCAAACTGCCATTATGTAACTGCCATTAGGACACGCACCAGCGCTGCTACCAGACGCTTACGCAGGCTGACTTATACTGTCATTTTAAACGTTTAGTTATGGCTCGCCTCACAATCCTTCCCCATCATAAGCATCGAGAACCATCGAACTAGTCTAGGAATCTCTAAAGACAGAGATTGTATCTCTGTAGCATTTCCCCTCCTCAGGCACAAGAACCTCGCCATTGTGAATCTGCTTGATTGATATGATTTGGCTTTAGTTCTGACATCGTGCATTAGGAAAGAGAGAGAGAGAAGACAAATGCCCCTGTCATAGTTACAAATTCAGTATTTCAAAGAGATTCCCAACCCTCACTTTGAAACCCTTTGTTTAGGCTACATTCATTACCAGAAATTACGTCTGCTCCAAAGCGGGTATGTCAGAGGCCACTTCGATTTTCTCTCTCTTAAGTGTCCTACTGTCCCATGGCCTTCAGCTTCTCCTTGCTGCCTAAGCTAGGGCCTCCTCACTGCCAGAGCCATCCTGCTGGCTTCCTTCCCATCGGTCTGTCCCCTGCTCCAATTATTCTCCAAACTGCAGCGACCACTGTATCATTCCACATCACAAACATCATCGCCCTGTGCTTCGTCCCATTCCCTTTCGGTTTATGGCATGAAGTCCAAAGTCCACGGCCCTCAGAAGGTCTTTGCCATGGTTCTTCTCAGCACCTGCTCCCAGATTCCTCAGCTTTCCAGTCCCCCAACGAATGGGTGCTCCCCTCCAGCCCATTCACCCGATCTGCAGTATCACGTAGCCTTTCCTGCCTTTAAAATGGTGTTTTGCTCTTTTTGAGTGTGCCCTTTTCCTCATTTTTCTAATTGACATATAGATGGTGTTAAATCGATATCTGGTAAATAACAGATTAATATATACATGTTGGAAATGTTCTAAATTCCGAAGTAGTTCTGTGTCTGTGGGATACAAGGAACGTAGCATCTGGCATCTAAAACTAGAGGAATAAATAAATGAATTGATGATAAAGAGAGAATAACTTCTATGACTCCTGTCCATATAGACAGCCATTTACAGATCAAATAAACGAGCTCCTGCAGGCTCGCCTGGGAGGATGCTTTTCGTGGATGGGAGACACGTGGGTTTCTGGTTCATGTCCCCGTCGTGACTCTGTTCAGGGGCCGCTGGCACTTTGCAACTAACTGGATAAATGGTCCAGTCTACAGTCTTGGTGTGGCTGGGTGTCCAGCTGGCAGACGCCACTGAGGTAAAGGGTAAGACAGGTGAGGGCCTGAGTGCACAGTGGTCAGTTTGCTTGGGCACTTAACCAAAGAGGTACTCAGCCTCCTGGAGACACCTCAGAGGGAAGTATCCATCAACCAAGCACATAGGGACAAGGGACAGGCTCGCGAAAGAAAAACCATCAGTCTGAAGACGGGTAGCTTGTAGAAGGTGAAGGAAGCAAACTAAACACCCTTCCTTTATGAGTCACTCTCAAAGGTCTTGCTTAAATTTTTTTGTTTTAAAAAATGGTGATTTAAAAGTTTCAAACAGACCCGGGAAGTAAATCCATGCATACTTCCAACATTAGTTAATATTTACTAAGAAATCATAGGTTAAAACAAATTAAACGTTTTGGCTCTCTGACTAGCTTTTCTGGCCGACGATGGTAGTGACTGTTCCTACAGATAGTTTAGAACTATTTTTTACCCCTTTAGAGTAACTAAAGAGCAAAGAGGCAAGAGGAGTCTGGGTCCGTGTGGTTCTTGAGCCAGGGTCTTAGGGAAATGGATTCGAGGATGGGGAATGGATCGGTATGAGCAGGCAGACACCAGACATGCCTGCTGATAATCGGGGAGAGTGAGTTAGATTTCTCCTTGTTTGAGGTGGAATTCCTTTGTATAAACCTGGGCACCCTCAGAGAGAAATGGTTTATTAGTCCAAACTGATGTTTATTTTGGACTCCGCTTCGCCTTCAGCTTTCAGTTGTGACCCCACGAATGAGCTCACAGTTGGAAGCAAATCTGTCTTCTGTTTCTACTGTTAACGAATTACCTACCCACTGGAAAACCACATAGGATCGACAATGGCCTTGTCCCAAATACGTGCTTTGTGGAATTATACAAATTGTATTGATGTTGCTAGCAGAATTCAGTTCAACTGCTGAAATATTTCGATAAGAGCGATTGAATTCTTAGTGAACAGAATGCTTCCTCGGTTCGCTTTTGGTCCGTTGAATGCTGGAAGTCTAGTGGGTCTGACCTGTTCATTGCACATATGTAGGATGATAGAATAGGCAGACCATTTGGTTGTGACACTGTGTATGTCTTGGGAGC